GGGGTTCATTGGGGTCCATTGGAGGGTCACAGGGGTACATTGGGGTTCATTGGGGTCCATGGGGGGTCACAGGGGATCCCCCCACCCTCAGCCCCCTGCCCCACTCACAGCTGCACCGTGCGCTGCCCCAGCGGGGCCTGGAGCAGGAAATCGCGGGCCAGGGGCCGGACCCACAGCAGCACCACCAGCACGGGAGCCAGGAACCCGGCGTGGAGCAGGGCCCTGCGGAGAATCAGGGACCCCCAGGACCATCACAGACCCCATAGACCCCGCCGCCCCCTCCCCTCCTGCCCCAAACCCCCCTGAGCTGCAGGGTCCCTCCCTCTTTCCCCAGGAGTTCCCTCCCCTCTGTCTCCCCCATCCCCACATGCCCCCTCGGTCCACAGCTATCCCTCTCCATCCTCCGCTGTCCCCTCGGTCCCCAGCTGTCCCCTCCATCCCCGGTGTCCCCTCCATCCCCGGTGTCCCTCTCCATCCCCAGCTGTCCCCTCCATGCCCTGGTGTCCCCTCCATCCCCAGGTGTCCCCTCCATGCCCCAGTGTCCCCTCCATCCCCGGGTGTCCCTCTCCTTCCCCTGCTGTCCCCTCGGTCCCCAGAGTCACCCAACTGTGTCAGGGGTCTGTCGGCCGCCATCCTGAGCGCGTCGCGGTGTGTCTGTGCCAGCCGCAGCCCCGGGAAGGTCAGGCAGGCTCCCAGGAAGGAGCACAGGGCCACCAGCCCCAGCTTGAAGCCCAGCTTGGCCAGGGGCAGCCTGGGGGACACGGGAGGGGCTGGGAGGGCGCCGGCCCCGCCGAGCCCCCACCCCACAGTGCCCAAAATCCCAAAATCCCCCCCACTCTGCCCGGGCACCAACTCACGTCCACTCCCAGCCCCGCGGCTTCAGCATGGGCTCCAGGTTACTGGTGACTGCGGCCAGGCCTGCGGGGAGTGACCGGGGAGGAGTGACCGGGGAGGGAGTGACCCCTGGGAACAGGGAGTGACCCCCGGGAATGGGGAGTGACCCCCGGGACTGGGGAGTGACCCCCGGGACTGGGGAGTGACCCCCGGGAACAGGGAGTGACCCCCGGGAATGGGGAGTGACCCCCGGGAGTGGGGAGTGACGGGGGAGGGAGTGACCCCCGGGAATGGGGAGTGACCAGGATGGGGAGTGACCCCTGGGAACAGGGAGTGACCCCCGGGAGTGGGGAGTGACCCCTGAGTGCTGTGATCCCCCCATGATTGGGGTCCCAGTGCCCCCAGTCCCCCCTCCCCGCTCGCCGCCCCCATCCCCCACCCACCGGCCTCCAGGCCGAACTCCAGGTAGTCCTCACGGACCACCAGGGCCACCATGGCGAGCAGGAGGAAGAGGAAGGCGAAGCTGAGGCAGACGGAGCGCTCGCCGCCCTCCTCGGAGCGGAAGTAGTGGCGCATCACCATGAAGAACACCTTGCTGGGGCAGGGGTCAAGGAAAAACTGGGGACAGCAGGGGACCCCGACCCTGTGAGACCCCCAAACATCAGCACGGAGC